ATTTTTTCCACCCCCTTCTCATTTGATCATGTATATGTCTTATACAATACATATGATCAAAATTGGGAAACAGTTGGGCAATTGCAGACATTATACCCTATAAGAATCATAATAAAGTTGTTAGCAGTCAAAACATACAATGAAGATACACAAATGTCTAAATATAAAGTACCTTTTTGCCTGTATATTATGAAGGTAAAATTTGAATTTTTTCCAAGTTCCAAGTCATCCCTAAGGTTTTCTAAAAACCATTTCAAGTTAGCTGTGTTTTTAGACTCAAAACCTACATATGCTAAGGGGTAAATACCATTTTTGGAATCTAGTCCTACTACTAAAAGAACTTGACAAGGGAATAGGTCTTTCATGAAGGTACCATCCAAACCCAGTAGATCCCTAATTTCTTCCCTATAAACCCTTTTTGAGTGGAATTAAAAATACATAAATCCTTATAAATTTCCTAGAAGGAGAGGCATGGTTAGGCTTAGATTAAACATCTATATTCATTGTGGTATTTGTATTAGTAGCCTAAAGTTCAAGAACACAACCCCTCAACAGTTCATATTGTTTTGTGTAGTCACCAACAACCAATTTTTTGCTTAATCTTTTTCCATGAACACCTAGTCAATCGAAACACCCGTGTGGTATTTCTTTTGAAACTGATCTTATAAAACTTTAAAAGGAATGATTGTATTTGGCTCTACCCGGTCTATTATCTAACTGGAAATGAACGTAGTAGTATAAACCCTATTTTTTTTGTAAGAATATGTGAGACTAATATAAGGTCCTTATAAACCACTCTGATTTAAGGTTTAACCTAGAAACATGGATTGACCAACTACAATTGACTTTTTGTGACTTTACTTCTTTTCCCTTGCTTTTAGATATGGTTGTTGAACTACTAACTTGACCTTTATCGGTGACAGTTACAACTCATCTACACTATGCCCTGAGCCTAAGATTTTTTGAAAAAAATAAATTGATTCTTGTTTCAAGTGCATGAAAATCAAATTTATCCTATAACTCTTGGTTTCATTTAAAATTTTGACCAACCATGAAACTTACCTTGTGTATTTACCCAAAGCCATATCTTTTTTGTTTACCCAAACTTGTAATAAGAGCTGTTCTTTTTCTGTCTTGGTTTGATCCTTCATCCAAAGCTTCCCGATCCCTAATTGTTTATGACTTCCATGTCTTCTGGTTCATCATCGACATGAAACCCATTAGGAACTCCATCTCATTCAACATCACTACCAACTTTGAGCTTGAAGTCTGCCATGTCCACATCTACATCCTAGATAGTGTTTTCCTGATCTACTATGAAGTCATCATCCATTTCTAGACTCAGAGTTTGCCACCTTCTCTTGGACCTCTTCTTCTTCAAACTCATAGTTTTCCACCTTCTCTTGAACCTCTTCTTCTTTAGACCTAGATTTTGCCACCTCCTCTTAAACCTATTGTTGTTCAAGATCACTTCCAATCATTGATTCCATGAGATTATTAAAGAATGGTTCAAAGTCTTCAACGTCATTACTAGTAGGGGTGTAACTGTTGGATTTGGTCTCTAAGCCCATAACTATAATTGGTATGTACTTGATTTGATATATAGCATGGTCCTTTTGGGTTGCCTTCACTCATACAAACTGACATGATGACTAGTGGAGAAAGAGAGTAGGATTTATTATATGAATAATAAATTGGTACTCAGAATGATTTTATAATATATTATAAGATTAATATATTATTTGGAAATCACATTTTTAATTAGTAATTCATCAGAAATTAATCTAGTATTAATTTTGGGATTAAAAGGAACTGATTAATAATGGAGGGGTTGTCTTGCAAATCATTGATTGTTGCAAAACTAGGCTGATGGACTCTATAGAGTAGCGTGGACGAAATTTATGGGTAAGACCATAAGATTTCGTCCAAGGGCTCTAAAGAGGAAGTCCATGGGCTGCTTAAGCCTTAAGCAGGAATTAGGGTTTCTACCTGAAAACCCTAGCAGCCCAACAGCTATATAAATCCCCTACATCTCTTGGAATTTCAGCCTAAGCTTAAGAAACCCTAGGATAGCCGATTTTCCACCTCTCTCCAAGTCATTATTTGCATTGGGTGTTTGTGACTCCATTATAGGTGCAACACTTGGGGCACTAAGCTTTCAAGAGTCAAGGTGGTTCTTGTTATTACTACATAACAAGCAAGATAACTTTAAAACCTTAATATATATGTGAATTTCAAATTGTGTATACTAGATCTAGGGTTATTGATTTGGTGTTCATATTTGTATGTTCAATAGAGAAAAACTTAGATCCAAAGCAATTAGGGTTGCATGATCATATAGGATTGTAGATATGCTCAAAACCCATCAATAACATCCTTCAAGATGATCATTATCCCAACGATCAATCATTGCATTTCCAAGATTATCAATAATGTTACTTTTTCTCAACCTTTCACCCTCATTATCCTGACCACCAGTCATCGCCACTTGCTTAACAAAGTCGTCTACATTTAGACTCTTGCTACAAGAACCTTCACATCTTTTTGACTTCTTCATTCTACTTATTCTCTAATTTTGTGACAATACATCAATTCCTGCTACAAAGTATCAAATACATGTAGTTACAAATAGCCTTTTTCTTATCAAGGTTCATATTTGCATTTTCTAATGGATGTTTAACATGAAATTATGCATCTTGGACATCATCTTCAGGTAATTCATCAAAGACAACTTTACCCTTTGCATTTGGAGACATGAAGTAAGTGAGTAAAATTTTTCCCATGTTCTGTGTGAACTGTAATCAACTTGTTATGTGGAATGTATTAAGACAAATTTAAAACATATTGATCATTTCCCAAATCTCCAGACCAAATTGAAAGTCACCATTAGCAACCTTAAATGATATTATATCACTAAGGTAACAGAGAAACCAAGTTTATTCATTTGTGGGGTTGGGTAACCAAGTTAAAGCATTATAGCATTAAGTTTATATACTAAGAACTCATTTATGTCCACTAAATCCACATAACATATTTCACCTCTAGTGTATTAATTTCTGGTAACTTAGTAAACTTCCTACCGTCGTGTAGCTCTATGCTAAACAACATGGGTGTACCATGTACAATATACAATAGATGAAAATGATGGTTAAATTTATATTTTGGTCTGAGCTTCCACATTACGTACATCATTTGGACTTGAAATGTATGAAATTGGTTGTCTTTATTGCTTGGATTAAGGTTTTTGGGTAAGAAATGAGGGTTTTTGCATATGTAAGCTTAGAGAAGAAAAAATGTATGTGAAGAGACTGACAATATGTTAGAGATTGTAAATAAGATAATAAGGGGAGTCTAATATTGTTTATCGTGCTAATACGGTAACAATATCCCTAATAGAAAATGATAGATTTTCTCTCATATAGAGGGCATGTGAGGGAGAACAACATGAATATAACGAGAGTAAATTCGGAGGACCAGATCCACAATGAAAGATGTTCAAAAGGACCATTTATCCAAATTTGTTTAGGTTTGGAGCATAACCCGAAAAAAATGCAAACCACCTGGACTTTTTTTTTTTTTTTTTTTTTTGCAGTTTTATCTTATTTCTATATTAAAGAATAATGGTCTTCATATTTAATGATGCACTATTCATACCAATAAAAATAATCTTGTACCGTTATACACCAAAAGGTTTGTAACCTAGTAGTACCAAATTTTATTGGAAATATGTTTTCAGTTATAAATTAAGTGTCAATTCTCATTTGAAACAAAATGTGTAGTTTATAAATAGTGTAAGGAATGTGTGCATTTTCCTTTCTACAAAAAATAATATAATACGTTGTGAATAGTAATGTCCACTTATTGTAAAAACAAGGGATAATGACTTAAAAGGATAATATACTTTTTGATTTGTATATATTTGGTTACTAAATTTTTTTTCCCACATTTACCCATTCAACTTATTTTAAACTAGACACATTCAGTCCATATGACCAGCTACTCTAGGTAAGCTATGAAAAATGACTTAATAGGGTAATATATTTCTTTCTTTGTACACATTTATTCTTTATATTTTTTGTTGCAAAAAAAGTCCTTATTGGTTTTTAACACATTCAACATTTATGATTGGTTTTTAAGGTTATACTTACGACATCCTAAATGTTTGTAGCGTAACAGTACCCGATCTTATTGGAAATATGTTATTCAGTTATAAATTAATTGTTCAAGTTTTATTTGAAACAAAAGATGTAGCTTATAAATAGTGTAAGGAATGTGTGTATTTTTCTTTCAATAAAAAATAATATTATATGTTGATGGTAATATCCACTTTATTGTAAAAACAAGGGATAACGACTTAAAAATGTAATATACTTTTTGATTTATACATATTTAGTCACTGAGTTTTTTTCGTCCACATTTACCTCTTCAACTTGTTTAAACTGTATACATTTAATCATTATGATCAAATACTTTAGGTAAGCAAGGAAAAATGACTTAATAGGGTAATATATTTTTCACTTTGTACATATTTAGTAATTATATTTGTTGTTTCAAAATAAATATTTGTTGTTTTTATACACATTCAATATTTATGACTGATTTTTCAGGTTTTATTCACGACATCTTACATGAGATAATCGTTATGAGGTGTTCGGGGTTATTGATGCTTATGACCACCACGGCCTCGACTGTTTGGTTGTTTAGGTCTTTATACAGACGATTAAAAGACAACTTAAAACATGAATATTTAAATGGTAATTTAAGTTTTTAAATTAATATGTATTTTAAAAAGAACTTTTTTTTTAATTAATGTTAAAGTTCTATGATGAAATTAAACTTTTGGTTACCTTACATATTAACTTGGTGATGATCAGTTTTTTATTTAATAATAGCATTTCTTATTTGATTATAAATATGTATTATAATATTTTAAAAGCTCATTTTATTCCCGATATATTTTATCTGACGGCATATATGGCCTTTTGTAACTACAAGATTCGCAAAAAACGATGACTTTAGGTAGTAATAGATCAACACTTCCAACTTCCAACAGTTCCCACACTTCCACTCCTCGCTTTCCGTAGATAAATTTGCTTACCTCCACCGCTATAACAAAAATGGAAGATACCCAACTTCAACTTACTTCCACAGAAACAAAGGAACCACAAAATCGAAGATTGGTTTTCGCTGTGAATGGAGAGCGCTTTGAGCTATCGAGCATCGATCCTTCAACCACTCTGCTTCAGTTCTTGCGTTCTCATACTCGTTTCAAGAGTGTTAAGCTTGGTTGCGGTGAAGGTTTGGTTTTAACTAACTCTCTGTTTGTAAGTTTGTAGATTGTTTGTCTACTGATTAATTCGTTCTGTTAATGTGTGTGTGTGTGTGCTTTTCTTGGTGGTTTGGTATATATCAATTTATAAAGATTCTGTTTATGGGTTAAATTGGATGTTTGTTCATATGGGTGGAACATGAGGTTGCATCTATTCGTTGACAAAAAATTAGTACCTATAAATCTCTATTCTGATGGCGAATTTTTTATACTTGACGAATATATTATTATATGAATGAAGTTGAGTGATCAAGAAAAGAGAATGAATTATCTTTCGCTTGGAACATAGTCAAGTTTTGTGGAATAATTGATTCGCAAATGGACCTTAGAAAGACATTTCTTTGAAGTCAACTTAGATAGTTAAACAAAGATGTTTGCGAATTTTAACTCGTTTTTCCATCAATTCGAACCTTTTGCATATTACGAGTTTCACGATTGTAGGTGGTTGTGGTGCTTGTAATGTTCTACTGTCGAAGTTTGACTCCAACCTCAAACAAGTCGAAGATTATACAGTGAGTTCATGTCTTACACTTGTTTGCAGTATAAACGGGTGTTCAATCACTACAACCGAAGGACTTGGGAATAGCAAAGATGGATTCCATTCCATTCATCAACGTTTTGCTGGTTTTCATGCATCTCAATGTGGCTTTTGTACTCCAGGAATGTGTGTTTCACTCTTCTCAGCACTTGTCAATTCAGAAAAAAACGATCATCCACAACCCCCTCTTGGATCCTCCAAACTTACTTCCTCAGAAGCTGAAAAGTCAATTTCTGGAAATCTTTGCAGATGCACTGGTTATCGATCTATTGCTGATGTCTGTAAAAGTTTCGCATGTGATGTTGATATGGAAGATTTAGGGCTTAATTCATTCTGGAAAAAGGATGAAACTCCAGATTCCAAACTTCATAAACTACCCTTTTATGATCCAAAAAAAATTTGTACGTATCCCGAGTTTTTGAAAAACGAATCCAAGTCCCCTATGCATTTGAAATATCAGAAAAGATCTTGGTATACTCCAGTTTCTATGAAGGAGCTAAATAGCTTATTGGTATCTAGTTTAGCTGAAAAGGGTAAAATGGTAAAGTTGGTAGCTGGTAACACAGGTATAGGTTACTATAAAGAAGTGGACCAATATGACAAGTACATTGATCTTAGATTTATCCCTGAGCTTTCTACAATCAAAAGAACAGACTCACAGATTAAAGTTGGAGCAACTGTTTCAATCTCTAAACTCATCTTTACCTTGAAAGAAGAAAGAGATGATGATGATGATTTCTCAGATGATGACTTTTCAGAAGGGGACATGGTGTTCCAGAAAATTGCTTCTCATTTGGAGAAAATTGCTTCTGAATCTGTTAGGAATTCAGCAACTATAGGTGGAAATTTGGTAATGGCTCAAAGGCATGGATTTCCTTCAGATATTGCCACTTTACTTGTTGCTGTGAAATCAGAAGTTACAATCATGAATGGGATAAAAAAAGTTTTTACATTAGAAGAGTTTCTAGCACATCCTGCTTTAGATTCAAGAACTTTGCTTTTGAGTGTTCATATTCCTTTCATGAAACCAAATAAAAACGGTTATAACTCAGACAAATGTGACACTAAATTATTATTTGAAACTTATCGCGCTTCTCCACGTCCTCTTGGGAATTCCTTAGCTTATTTAAATGCTGCTTTCTTGGCTGAAATTTCTCCTTATAAAAGTGGCAATTATGTAATTAACAACATCCGGTTAGCTTTTGGTGCTTTTGGGAGTAAGCATACAATAAGAGCAAACACAGTTGAAAGTTATCTTCTTGGAAAAGCATTGAGTATTGGTTTGTTGTCTGAATCTCTCAAGTTACTAAGAGCTAATATCCAACCAGAAGATGACACATCACATTCTGCTTATCGATCAAGCTTGGCTTCTAGTTTTCTCTTTGAGTTTCTCTTTCCTTTACTTGATTCTGATGCCTTATATATAAATGGTTCAAGGGTGAGATTTGATCATTATGATGAAAAAAGAACATTGTTGTCATCTTCAAAGCAGGTGTTGGAATCTTGCCATGAACATTATCCTGTTGGTGAACCGATTATAAAAACGGGTGCTTCAATCCAAGCTTCTGGTTTGTTATTATTCACTCAATCAACAACTATTCTTGTTAATTGGATTTAACTTATCATCATATACAGGTGAAGCTGTATTTGTGGATGACATTCCTTCACCATTAAACTGCCTTCATGGAGCATTCATCTACAGCACAAATCCTTTAGCATGGGTAAAAGGTGTTGAAGTGAAGAAAGATGTACATGGTGTTGTTTCATTTCAAGATATTCCAAAAGGAGGAGAAAACATAGGAGCCAAGACTTTATTCGGTCCAGAACCTTTATTTGCCAATGAGATAACTGAATGCACTGGACAACGTATAGCATTTGTGGTATTTTACTAATTCTCTTAAAGAAATCATCATCTTCTCTTTCACTTCATTATTCTGAAAGAAATCAAAGTTTTAGGTGGCAGATTCACAGAAGAATGCAGATATTGCAGCTGAAACAGCCATGGTTGATTATGACACTCAAGACTTAGAACCACCCGTATTAACTGTTGAACAGGCTGTTGAGAATTCAAGCTTTTTTGAAGTCCCTTCGTTCATATATCCATCACAAGTTGGTGATTTCATAAAGGGAATGGCTGAAGCTGATCATAAAATCCATTCTGCTGAGGTACAGATCATGATCAAACTAGTTGTTGAGATTTGAGAATTATTCTTTTTTTAGTGCTCATTTGTTATATACAGATCAAACTTGGATCACAATACTATTTCTATATGGAGACACAAACTGCATTAGCTGTTCCAGATGAAGATAACTGCATGGTGGTGTATAGTTCCATTCAGGTCCCTGAGTTTGCACAAAGTGTAATTGCACAGTGTCTTGGAATTCCTGAACATAATGTTCGTGTGATTACAAGAAGAGTTGGAGGAGGATTTGGTGGAAAAGCTATTAAAGCTATGCCTGTGAGTATTAATTAAACTATTAATTCAAATCTGTTTTTTGATAGTATTGAAAATGTTATGTTATGTATGTTGATCATAGGTTGCAACAGCATGTGCACTTGCAGCATACAAATTAAATCACCCTGTGAGAACGTATGTGAACAGGAAGACTGATATGATAATGGCAGGAGGAAGACATCCCATGAAGATAAACTACACTGTAGGCTTCAAATCCAATGGAAAAATCACAGCTTTACACCTCGATATATTAATCAATGCTGGAATGTCTCCAGATATAAGCCCAGTGATGCCATGGAATATGTTGGGTGCACTGAAGAAGTACAACTGGGGTGCTTTATCATTCGATTTTAAAATCTGTAAAACAAATCATTCGAGTAAATCTGCAATGAGAGCACCAGGAGAAGTTCAAGCATCTTTTATAGCTGAAGCAGTGATAGAACACGTTGCATCTATTGTTTCCATTGATGTTGGTTGTGTAAGGGAGAAAAATTTTCATACATTCGATAGCTTGAAAATGTTCTATGGAGGTGATAGTGTTGGTGAGTTTGTCGAGTATACTTTGCCAAATATATGGGATACGTTAATGAAATCATCAAATTTCAATGATAGAGTCGAAATGATAAAGAAGTTTAATAAGTGTAATACATGGAGAAAAAAGGGTATTTCTCGAGTTCCCATTTTGCATGAGGTGTCACTAAGGGCGACACCTGGAAAAGTGAGTATTTTAAGGGATGGATCCATTGTTGTAGAAGTAGGTGGGATTGAATTAGGTCAAGGGCTATGGACAAAGGTGAAACAGATGACTGCGTATTGTCTAAAAGCAATTCAATGTGAAGGAGCTGATGGAAATGAGCTTTTGGAGAAGATACGTGTCATACAAGCAGACACATTGAGTATGGTTCAAGGAGGGTTTACAGCTGGAAGCACTACATCTGAAGCAAGCTGTGAAGCAGTTAGACTTTGTTGCAATGTTTTAGTTGAAAGACTCGTGGGTTTGAAAGAAAGATTAGAACCCCAAATGGGTTTTGTTAAATGGGATTCCCTCATTCTGCATGCAAACATGCAATCAGTAAATTTATCAGCAAGTTCGTTTTTTGTACCCGAGTTTAACTCCATGAGATACATTAACTATGGTGCTGCTGTAAGTGAGGTAAGTTCCATGAACAATATTATATTCGTTTTTTATAGTTTGAATAAAAAATGTTAATGTTGTGGAAAAAATAGGTGGAGGTGAATCTTCTAACTGGAGAAACGAAAATCTTGCAAGCAGACATTGTATATGATTGTGGACAAAGCTTGAATCCTGCTGTGGATTTAGGACAAGTTGAAGGCGCTTTTGTTCAAGGAATTGGTTTTTTCATGCTTGAAGAATATTCGATAAACTCTAATGGGTTAGTGATTGCTGATAGCACATGGACATATAAGATACCCACAATTGACACGATACCTAAGCAACTTAATGTGCATATACTAAACAGTGGACATCATAAAAAACGTGTCCTCTCTTCAAAAGGTATGTTAAAGAACTGAAGTTTCATATTCTTTAAAGGATTGGTCAACTTATCTAATTGTTACTGTTGTTGTGAGATGCAGCTTCTGGAGAGCCACCTTTACTTCTTGCAGCTTCTGTTCATTGTGCAACTAGAGCTGCCATTAAAGAAGCAAGAAACCAAGTACGTTCATGGAAAGGGTTAGAGGGTTCTGATTCAATGTTTCAGTTGGATGTTCCTGCTACCATGCCTGTGGTGAAGACACTGTGTGGACTAGATAATGTTGACTTGTACCTTCAGAGCTTGATGTCACGTTCATGAAAATGGTACATTTCTTCACAATGTTGTTTGGGTTTAGTGAGATAAACACAACAAAGTAGTTAGTTTTAGTTCCTGTGATTCATGGGTTTCTCTTTAGATTGTTCGATATTTATATGTATCATCATCGATAAAATATTAAAGTAAGTTAAAATAAAGTCGATGTGTCAATCATGTTTCTTGTTCATGATCTGTAAAAAGTTTGGTAGATTTAGAATGTAATCTATATTTTAATCATGTTTCTTGAACATATTTAGGATAAAACGTAAAATAATCTTGGGTAAGAGGCATAGTTTAATTTGGAGCTCCAAAACCGAGAAGTAGATGAAGTTAGAACTTGTTGGGATCTACTAATGTTCATGGTTCCTAAATGTGCTTTTGTCCTTGTAAAGGCGTTGCCTAATGCCAAATGCGTTCATGGCCTTCCAAGATTCGCTACATTGTTGCTGAATGTTCCTACGTGATATGAATGCACTCCATGGATGCGCTGACACCTCTAGAATGTGCTCTGTGTATGGTGAATGCGCCCCATCCATAGATAATGTGTTGCCTAGGTGCATGTCAGGTGATCATAAACATCCCTCAAAGTCGAAAATTCTAGAAGCAGTTGCATAACATTTTGTGATTGGCTAATCCCATTTAGGGCCTAATTATTGATGGGCCCGACCCATTAGAATTAGGGCATCCCTATTGTTCGCCTATAAATAGGTACTCCCATCTCCTTCAACATCCATGTGAGACGTGTATGTATGAGTGCATATATTTCAAGAGAGCAATCATTGTGAGGTTGAGAACATATCATTTCGAGTAGTTTGTCAGCAAGAGAGGCCCTTTTGTTTGAGAGCTCAACTGAGATGCAACCAATGTTGTAAAACTTATCGAGTTGGCCGATTACTCGGCCGAGTACTCCCTACTCGCCCCCTTACCGAGGCGAGTTACAGAATCCGAGTACTCCCCGATCGACCCCTTACTGAAGCGAGCAGTGTTGTAAAACTCGGCCAACTCGGTGATTAATATGTAAAATATACTTAATTATTTATTATTTAACACACACACACAAGTGATTATTACTACATATATATCTTACATATTCAGTAATTAATCACGAAGTGAGATCATTGTGTGTTTTTTCAGTTTTTGTGTATTCACAAGTAGCTAATTTTGTTATATATTTCAATTAACTTATGGTTTTAACTTATGATTTTGACATATATAATTTCCCTACAAATATTTCTACATGAAATACCGAATCCGAGAACTCCCCGAGTACTCGCTACTCGGTAGTCGGCCGAACAGGTACCATGATACAAACCCAAGAAGTGATACACAATCTATTGGACAGTAGACTAATTCTCATGATTTCTTTTCCATTATGCATGTTTGCCACGTTTCCCTTTTCTTAGGAATATCATGCTAGCTATTTCCTTCCACTTTTTCAATTCCTAGTTAATTGCAATCTTTCCTTTAAATACCTTGTAATTTGCATTGGATAATATAGCAGAAAATTGTCTCAATTAACAGTTGTTTATCTATCTCGTATCTTCTATCTCTTGTATCTATTTGTACAAGGGACTCGCCATCCATAATTTGGCTGTATCAATTGGTGCTTTCATCATCGTCTCAATGCCTCCAAAAACTGAGTCTGGCTCCACCTCCGACAACCCCAAGGCCACCCCCGACAACCCCAATGCCGCCCTCAATGATTAATTGCAGATTTTGATCCACCTTGCCACCGCCACCAACCACCGCCTAGACACCATCACCACTCATCTTGTTGCACAATCCGACACCATGAACAACATTGTCAAACTCCTCGCCGCCAACAACAACCGGCCGCCGCCTCCACCACCGCCACCACCGCCGCCTAATACTCACCCACACCCACCAAAAATATATCTCCCCAACTTTGACGGATCAAACCCGCTTGATTGGGTGTTCCAAGCGGAAAATTACTTTACCTATTATGTTATCCCACCAAACCAAACACTTGCCCTTTCCGTGTTTTACTTCACTGGTGATGTACTCAGTTGGTACAAACATATGTCCAACAACAACCTCCTTGGCACATGGGTTGAATTTACTCGTGCACTTGAAACCCTCTTCGGTCCTTCTACCTACGAGAACAACCAAGCTACACTTTTCAAGCTCCAGCAAGTCTCCACAGTTGCCGCCTACCAATCGGAATTTGAGAAGATTAGTAATTGTGTCGTTGGTTTATCTCCACAAGCATTACGTGATTGTTTATTCTCCGGGCTTCGCCCCGATATTTAGGCTGAACTTGCCCTTCATGGCCCCCAAACTCTCCACCAAACTTACGGCCTCGCGAAGCTAATAGAAGATAAACTTCGTGCTCAACTTCCATCTTCCGATGATTCCTTTGAGCCTTCCCCAACAAAACAACCATTATTTCCCACCCCTCCACCGCCTCCCCCAACACTTCCAATCAAACGTTTAAGCCCCACCCAGATGCAGAAACGGCGGTCTGAAGGTCTTTGCTACAATTGCCCAGCAAAATACCAACCGGGTCAACAGTGCAACCCACCTAAATTCCTCCTTCTTCAATCCGAAACCGAACCTCCATGGACCTTGAACACACAATGTGATCTCAGCCTTGAGGACAAGTGTAACGACGTAATTTTTCAAACAAATTTTTCATTTTCAAACACAATAAAACTCAGTTTTATATTCTCAAAATCATAAGTATCTCAAATGTCAACAATTTCGCACATATAAAATCAAATCCCAGAATCATATAATAATCTCTCGCCAGTGTGTACAATCATGCTGGTGCCTTCTCGCGATCCTCGGAACTACCTGAAACACATAACACATAACACGGTAAGCACAAAGCTTAGTGAGTTCCTCAAAATACCACATTCAACATATTAGCCACTCGAGGCTATAACACTGTAACACCCTCCAGTCTATGTGTCTCAGTGGGACCCTCTAGTCCCACGGTTCGTTGAACCCTCCGGTCCGGTCTGGTTGGGACCCTCCAGTCCCATGGCTCGTTGGACCCTCCGGTCCGGTCTCAGCCTCGCATAATATATCATAATATATATCACATAAATAAAGCACAACTCAAGTAAGCACATAAGACCCTCTGGTCACACATAAATACCACTCAAGGTAAAGTATAGTGAGAAGACTCACCTCGTAAGCTAGCTAGTAAAATCTCGTGCTCGAAATCCTCGATCTAGCCTCCGCCTATTACATGGATAATATTTCTAATCAATACTCCCCTCGCACTCAATTACACTATTCGATGATCTCTCATACACTCTTAGCCCCTTAAATGGGTAAAAGACCATTTTACCCCTCCCTGACTTTTACTACTCAGTTGAACAGACCTTACAGTCAACAGAAGTTAAACTCTAGTCAACAGTCCAAAATTGACCAGACTCGCCGAGTGCACTCGTGCGACTCGTCGAGTCCCATCGTTTCTCAGTAACCTCAGGAAGGTCTAGCTCGTCGAGTTAACCCCTAACTCGTCGAGCTAGAGCACGATTCAACTCCTCGGGACAAACCCTAAGCTACTCGCCGAGTCGGCTCATCAACTCGGCGAGTCTATTAAGACTCAGCTTGCATTCAAACGATTTTAAGGTGGAATACTACCTCAAACTCCAGATCCAACATTCTCAGGGCTCAAATATCACGTAAAGTCATAGACTTTACGTCCATGCATGGCATTTTGGGCAAGAAATGCCAAGATCATGCCTTAACAAAGGTTTTTCTCACAAGGACATCACCAAATCAGAATAAAGCTTGAACCTTTAGATGTTAAGGGTCTCCTACAGTCCAGATCTTGAGTTCAAGCTTCCTCATGAACCCCGAACCTTTCAAGTCCCAAAATATACACAAAAAGGATCCCTAATCTCCCAAAAATGTTATCTACTTAATCAGAAGGAAAGGTTCGAACTTGATACCTTTAACTAGGGATGAGCATATGGACCGGGGAACCGGTCGGAACCGGAACCGGCACCGGAACCGGAACCCGATGGAACCGGTCGGGCCAGGACCGGGACGTTATTTTTGTGGATTTTTGGAACCGGGAACCGGTAGGAACCGGAACCGATATAACCGGAACCGGTAGAACCGGCAAAAACCGGAACCGTATGATGCTATTTTTCAAGGACCGGTTCCAACATTTGAAGACACGACAAGAACCGGTAGGAACCGGGAACCGGTAGAACCGTCGGGCCGGTTCGGTTCTTGATTTTGGCCGAAGCCGGTTCCCGGGTCGGGTCCGGTTCCGGCCGGTTCGGTCCTTTTGCTCATCCCTACCTTTAACAGAAGCTCCTGGACGAGTATTAGCAGATCCAATGCCCCTCCTTTACTCGTTGCTTGAAAACTCTCTTCTCCCTTCCAAAAATGCACCAAAGATCTCAAAGTTAGCTCTCTCTCTCTCACTCTATGAGCTCCAAGGTCGTTTAGGGTTTCTCAGGGAAGTGTGGCCGCCAAAGGGAGGCTATAAGTGCCTTTATATAGGCCACAGGCCCGCTAAATTAGGGTTTCCATCAACAGTGCTGACTCGGCGAGTCGGCTTACTGACTCGTCGAGTCCATTCATTAATACACGTCACAAATCACGACCCTACTCGACGAGTTGAGGCGTCAACTCGTCGAGTCTCTCCAAGATTCTCAAATTAAATAGTGAAAATAATATACCTGGAAAACCGGATGTTACAATTATCCCCCACTAGAATCAGACTTCGCCCTCGAAGTCATGCTCCGCAAATAGCTCAGGATGCTGCTCCCGCATCTCTGACTCCGGCTCCCAAGTCAAACCGGATCCCTTCCGATGCTGCCACCGGACCTGAACCAAGGGCACTTCCTTGTTCCTCAGAACCTTCACCTTTCGATCTAGAATCGCGGTCGGCCTCTCAATGTAATTCAGGCTCGCATCCACCTGAATGTCTTCTAGCGGTACCATTGTCGCCTCATTGGCCACACACTTCCTCAGCTGGGACACGTGGAAGGTGTTATGAATCTGACTCAACTCCCGCGGGTAGCTCCAACTGGTATGCTACCTTACCCACTCTGGCGGTCACTCTGAACGGACCGATATATCAGGGGCCCAGCTTGCCCCGCTTCCTGAACCGGATCACCCCCTTCCATGGGGATACCTTCAGGAGCACGAAATCTCCGACCTGAAACTCCAG